CAATTATTTCTCGATCGTTTTTTCCAAGCAATCTCCTCTAAGATCAAGACTTCATGCAATTCCATTTCTAAAGCTTTCCTTTGCAAAATAACAACTGCATCTTTCTTCCTTTTTCAATCTTGTATAGAGCATTCTCAATTTTTTGTCTCCGAACAGCCAGACTGCCATATTTCTGCTTACTCCAGTTTTTTAGCTTTGTCTCACAATTTTCTATCTTAGACATCACATACGTAAAATTTTGATTTAACCATCCCTCCTTGTCTACCTCTGCATAGTCTTCATCTCGTTTCCAGTATTCTTCATACCTGAAGCATCGCCCCCATTTGACATTTTCATGGAGCAGATCTCGTTTTAGTGAAATGGGGGAATGATCTGAACCACATCTCCTCAAGTAATACAACTTGACATGTGGGAAAAGTGATTTCCATTTATCATTTGCTACCATTCGGTCTAATCTTTCTTCCAAGAATGTCTCATCTTTATGATTATTGTCCCATGTAAAAGGATATCCATAGTAACCCAAGTTTCCGAGGTTGTAGTCCTCCAGGGCTTCATTAAAACCTGCAATTTCTCTTGTATCAGCGGGACTTAGTCCATTCTTCTCCTTATAGGAATTTATAAGATTAAAATCCCCACTTAATAACCATGGAATTTTTTCTAGAGTGTGGCCATATAAATCCCTTATCAGCTGCCATGGTTTCTATTTGTTGCTCTGCTCAGGCTAGCCATAAACTCTTGTAAATTGCCATTGTACATCTCCTTCTCTAATTTTTAGATCTATGTGATTGAGTGATAGAGACATCACTTCAACTTAAATCTCACCCTTCCATATAGCCAGCAGCCCTCCAGCTCTTCTATTAGAACCCACATCCTTTCCTTCCTTCCATCCCAGCTTCTGCATAATCTCTTCCCATTTAGTTTCCTTCTTCTTGGTTTCCATGATGAAAACCAAAATGGGGTCTCGTTGGAGTAGCCTTCCCAACTTCTTCACTTCCAAGGGACTCCCCAAACTGTGACAGTTGTAGGTTAATATACTCATTGGGCTGGGCGACTTGGTGAAAAGACAAGGTCTGCACCACACTGCCATCCAATTTGGGTTCTAATGTTGTTGTTGCTTCTTGTGAGGGATTCTGAGGGTTTACCTGCTTACATTCCTCTTGATTCTTCTGATTTATAAGATAAGGGAGTCTAGCCCTTTTATGTATCTCTCCATCCACTAGGTGTTGAAGAGTGTCACCCCTCTCCTGACCTGTAAATTCATCCACATCTGAACTCCTTTTTCAAGGTGTAAGTTGAAGCACCTCATATTTTTGTTGTCGTTGGCTTTTCTGTGAATGGTGCCTTTGCCAGATCTTTTGTTTCTTCTGAGCTTCCTTCTCATACCCTACTCCCATATGAAACACCATATTTCCTCTACTTTGTGTGTCATGTTCCATCAAAACTTGCTTCCCTGTCATAACAAGGTCGTCTGCTTCTTTGTTAGCTAACTGGTTCGGAGTATGTACTTCAATTCTTGATACCCGCACCATCTTTTCTCATATAGTGGCTTCTCTTTGGTTCCAAGCTTCCTCTTCCATCCCTTATATGTCTCCAATGGGTATTTTTAAATTCTGAAACCTCAAAGACGAGATTCTTGCTGCTCTGTTTTGATTGTCAGGTTCTACTCTGACATACACGCAGGCATAAGTCTGGTCCAAAAGGATCCTTTTCCAGTTCAAGTTTGGAGGTTCAGTAAGCTTTGGGGTGCCCCACAATGCCACAAGTATAGCAGAACATTGGTAAATTTTCATACTTGACTGGAAACTTCATTACTTCACATTGTACCTTCAGTTTCAGTTCTTGTTTTAAAAGGGTTCTAATGCCCTTCCCTACTCTTCTTCACAGGAAATCCTCATGAAGAGTGTCCACTCTCGAGTCCACCCAAATCAAAGAGCCAAAAAACGCTCCACAATCTTATGCACCATCTTAGTAGTCTTCAGCGCGTTAGGTAAACCAAACACACGCATCCAAATGTCCATTGTGTGAAAGTCTTCCACTTTTGGTTTATGGAAATCATCTTCCTTTTTGAAGATCGGTAGGTTATTGTCATAGTGCCAAGGTCCACCCAAAAAAACTTCCTCTCTATCTTGTTTATCAAGGAATTGGAATCAAAATAGCAGGTCACCTTTATCAGAGATCCGAAAATTTTGCCTCAAGTTCCAAGCCTTGGATAGTGCAATTTTCATCGATTTGACATTTTTTTCTTATTTGTTAACAGTCTTCCCACCAATCCGAGGAGATTGACTACTTTAACCATGACGGGTTCGTAGTCCGCTTCTTCAACCTCCAATGCTTCCTCATCATCATCAGCTCCCAAGCTGATGCTTTTTATTTGTGTTTCTAGCTCTTCTGAAAAATGAGTACCCTTCTCCCCTGATTCCTTAGGGTAATTTCCTGTATACATCTCCATATTTGTAACTGATCACTTGAATTTGTAAGGTTATTGTCAGAGGTTAGCACGTATCAACAACTATCTCATCCTATGCCAAGTTTAACCTAGAACGACATTGTGGTATAGTGGTAATCAAGGTCGTATTCTACTCTGGTCCTGGTACCCTAGCCTACTTCCCACCTAGTTGCTAATTAGTTAATTTGTTTTTGAGGTTTTGAGTGGAGGATATGAGGAAATACTAGACTAAAGATTGATCAAAGCTAAAAGCAGGTACTCGTATTTTAAACCAATTTCACGCTAGCTTGTTCTTGTTGGTGATATTTCAGGTCCTAGTACGTGAATGAAGGTCTTGGAACGAGTTCGGTGTCGATTGGATGAAGTTAGGCGTTCAAAGGAAAGCTGAGGATTTTACGTGGCCTACTCTTAATTTATAGCGGCCGTGCAAGGTAGCCGTGCACGGGCCAGAGCTGATTTTACGTGGTCGTGTAGTATAGCCGTGTAATTGAAATTACGTTACCATGCCCTTACTGGCCCTGCAAGGGTACCCTTTGGCCGTGTGGGTTTTCTAGGAGAGTTACACGCGCAAGGGACAATTTCACACGGCCGTGTTACTTCCCTCAACCAACTAACTGCAACGTCACGTTTTGGGAGTTACACGGGAAGACTAGATTTCTACACGATCATGTGGCCTGGCCGTGTAATCAGGTAGAGCTGGGTTTTAACCCAATTCCGAGTCTTTGAGAAAGGATTCGAGTTTTTAGAGCAAAAACAGAGGTTTAGAGAGAGAAAGGGCGAAGAACAAACTCGAGGATCGATTTCGGAGCTTGGTTTCACCATTCAAGCTTGGATTTCGACCTTGGAGTGAAGATTTATATCCCAGAGCTTATCATATACATCATTATGAGTATGATTTCTCTGATTTCTGTTTCCCCTCTCTCTCAATGGAGTTAACCTTTCTCTCACTTGGGTATGAAGAACCCTAGTTCCATGTGTTAGGAATCTTGATTGTAATGACTTTTGGGATGATGTACTGATTGGTTTTAATCGATTGAAGTGTGTTTATTGAGTCATTTGAATCCTGATCTTCTTTTGATTTCTACTTCAACCTATAATAGATAGAATCTTATTAGGTTGCTAGAATATCTCCAATCATTAGGAGTGAATTGATTGTATGAGAGTCAGTGAATTCATTGCTCTTTACTAGAATCCAATTCCAGTAGTGGAGTTCTGTGTGAATCGTCTTAGCAGTATATTCCGGTGAAGGCTAGTCGTCTGTCGAATATTCAGCCTAAGAGGGCTTGGTCACCTTAAGAGATTCCAAGCTATTTTTGGATCTTACGCAGTCTAATCAACAGTAATCAACCAAAGGGAATTACAACTTGAACCTAACTGAGGAGCTAGGGGGACTCATTCCTTAGTGACTTTTATTCTGCTAAGTAAACCAAACAATTTAATGCTTTCTTTCTGTTGTAGATTAGACTCACAATCACTCAACTCTTACTGCTAGATAATAGAATTTCACGGATTAGGCTGTAGATCTAGACCCCAGGTTGATAAATAAAGCTTACCCACTATTCTGTATTTCCATTCATTGGTTACACTTGACCATTTTTTGGTGTCGTGTCGTAGCGAGTCAAGTTTTTGGCACTATTACCGAGGACTCTAGGTTATTGGTGAAACGTGAAAGTCTATTACTTTAGCATTTACTTTTTTTCATTTTCTCTCTTACACCCGTGTGCCTTCACGGGTTGTGTCTGCAGTCTGTGTTCAAGTAGTGCATGACCCGTAGCCAGTCGCGAGATCTACTGCCATTGGACTAGGAGCTAGAAAGGATATGTCGCAACTTTAAGAGAGCTTTGAAGGCGCAACTGGCTACAGAGGATGCTCTAGCTCAGTTGAACATCAACCAGGAGGAGGAAATGGGTGAATCCAACACTGGCGGGGCGATTTCCCCTGAGGAGCATACCATTGGATACTACGGGACCGCTAGAGTTGTAGACATGAGGTGCACCATCCAACACCCTCAAGTTGTTGCTAACAAGTTCGAGGTGAGCACCTCGATTATCACCATGTTGCGAGATTCAATGGTGTTCTATGGGAAGACATGAGAGTGCCCCCGAGCGCAGCTGTGACGTGGCTAACGGGAGCGCCTAGTCACCACCATTTTGGCTCGAAAATGGTCAAACCCGACCCGCCATGTCACCAAATCCACCATGTAATACACCCAACCCAAACCGTTAACCCAACTGGTCGAGAATCAAGGACTTCAATAAGGACAATCTTCTTCCACTCCAGCAAGAAGAAAATTGCCAAATTGAAAGCAAAAGCCAATGCCGAACTAGCCGAAATGGATCTCTGGAGTGGAGGGGATTGGTTGATTTTTGGGGTTCTGGGTTGGTGACGCTCGAAGCTCTTTAGCTTTCGTTATTTGTCACGTTGGGGGGGGGGGGGGGGGAGGAGGAGATCAAGTTTGGGAAGAGATCGAATATGTTGGCTGCTTGGCAGGGAAGTGTGTAATTTGTCTGGTGTTGAGCTATGATCATCGAGGTTATGTGTTGAAATCTGGACTATGGGTCTTGTTCAAGAGAAGGGGAATTTGCAGCTCCATGTTATGTGGATCTCGCCATATCTAGCCGGATCTCGCCATATCTCATCTCTCCAGGCCCGATTCGTGATCCAGGCGGGCTTACGAGGCTGCTTCCAGCCCAAGTTCCAGGTCCATTACTCTGGGAAAGCCATTGGAGGGAGGATGGTCACGATGAAGGTAAAGGACCTGGTGGGGGAAGAAAGTTTGGGGCACGTGGCGACGGAGGTGAACAGAGTGGTGGTCGAGACGACGGACGAAAAGCTCAAAGAGGTAGTGGAGAATTTAATAAGTCTCTGGATAAGAGAGGGCTGGCAGAGTTTACGGAAGGAGGGCTGATTCTGAGTGGATCGGAGTTCATTGATGCCGTCACTTAATGAATCGGTGTTTGTTGATTGTTCGGATTTTCCAGTGTGGGTTTTGGTTCGGGTTGGATTAATGGTTTGGGTTGGGTGTATGACATGGCGGGTTGGGTTTGATCATTTTTTAGCCAAAAGGGCGTTGATTAGGTGCTCCCATTAGTCACGTCAGCACATAACGAACTCTATTAACGGAGTTGGACGGAGACTAAAGGAGAATGACTAAATATGACCCGTTTTAATAATTAGAATGACCAAATTTAATATTATCTTTTTTCAGTGACTAAGCATGTCATAGGTTAGTAATCAGAGTAACCAAATATGGGATTAACATACATTGATATACTAACAAACTTTGGAACATAATCTCTAGTTATTCTTGGAGCTGGATTATCTTCCATGTGATGAACTACACATTTTGGTGACATATGTTTTCGTTGCTTTCTTTTGCTATCCTCCATCCATTCTAAAGTTACCCTGCATGGCCATAGTTCCTTCATTTGTCAAATCTTTCATCATTTCCCATATTACGGCCCTCCAACTTCTGTCTTTGATCTTCTTACTGTCCATTTTCATCTTTTGTCTTGTTGTCATAATTTGAAGTATTCATTTATGATTTTTTTTTTCTTCCCAAATCTACTTGTCCATTATCTGTCTGTAACACTCTAGTTTTGATAAATACACCCCACAACTTTTTATTTAAGCCACATGGATTCTAGCCCGAGTGGCCCTTACCAATTATTTACTTTACTATTCAAATTTTCCAATCCATACAATATTTTGCCTCTAATTTTAGAAGGTTTGAGCTCTATGCTTAATCTATTGAAACTGGATTTTGACTAGACGACGACAACAAATGAGGTAAGAAGAAAAATACTCTTGATTGTTGGGTGCATAATCATCATTTAATTAATTACTTTTCAGTTGCATAATATGACCAAGTTAGTGATATTTCGAGTATTCCTGAAATTACATCCGTACAACTTGTGAATTTTTTCTAATGAACATTGGAAGAACAAATTTATAAATAAAAATAATTGAACTAGTTATAATTCTAAATATATATTATCATATTGAACAAACATCCACTAATTAAATTTTGAACTTTCGTACCAAACTTTATAGGTGACTGCCACGTATGACAAAATTTAATGGAGTGTAATGGCTGGTGACTAATTGTGAAATGATTCGTAAAGTTAGTGGCGAATAAAAAAAAAGTAATTCGGCTGGTGTGAATTTTTTCTAATGAACATTGGAAGAACAAATTTATAAATAAAAATAATTGAACTAGTTATAATTCTAAATATATATTATCATATTGAACAAACATCCACTAATTAAATTTTGAACTTTCGTACCAAACTTTATAGGTGACTGCCACGTATGACAAAATTTAATGGAGTGTAATGGCTGGTGACTAATTGTGAAACGATTCGTAAAGTTAGTGGCGAATAAATAAAAAAGTAATTCGACTGGTAAACGTGAAAGATTTGTATAATTTGAATAACCAAACATGTAATTGAACCGATAATTAAACAAAATCGGTATTCATCGCCCTAAAATTCAAATTTTATCGCTAAATTAACATATTCACTTCTCAATCCAATTTCAATTCTAAAACCTAACCAAACAATTGCTTCCGTTACCTCCAACTCACATCTGCAGCAGAAACCCTGCTCCGCCTCTCCCCTGCTCAGTGCTCACCCCAAGCTCCGCCTCTCCTACTCACCGGCCCAAAACTGTACAACGTCAGGAAAAAAGTTAAAAAGAAGCTTCAAACTGTGAAATTATAGAATCCATATTGGGCAACACTCACTGCACAAGCAAGGGCATCACATCCTGCCATTAATTACGGAAAATAAAAAGCGATGTTAGAAAATAAAATAAAAACAAAGAGAAGAATGTGAAAATCACTAAAGAATGGAAAATCACCATGGTCAAACAGTTCGCCCACTGGACTGGAAGAATTCGTTCTTCTTGCTTGCTTTTCCATCATATTGGACCAGCAAAAAGACCATGGGAACGCATTGCAATTACAGAAGTCAAACCTGATACAAAAACAGCAATAATCCGTGTGCGTGTGAACCCATCTTGGTGGAGCTGTATCCAAATGAGGTGAATATAGGGGAAATTGGAGTGGATGTGGTTATCGGTCTGCATCTTGCGAATATCTAAACTTGCAAATTTACAATTATTCTACTCACAATCCACACCCAGTGGTTAGTGACTAACCACTACCCACTGCGGGTTGATGCGGACAGGGCGTGGTTACCCGTAAAAATTCATATTTGCAAGCATTGAGGTGAGGCCGCCACTAAAGTATTTGTTGTTCTCGTAGCTAGATTATAGTGATATACAATTGTGTTGTTCGCGGAGATACAATTTTGTATATCGAACTTATTCAATGTGGAGATTTTTTCTTTTCGAGGTATTCAACTTTTATGTCATGAAGCTGTGATTTCATATTTCACCGACTAGGACTGGAATCAAGTTTGGTATTTTCTTTCACACAAAAGCAATTGCAGATAAAGTTACTAAAGGTGTCCACTTTTAATGAATCGATTATTCTCCATTACCTCAATTATAGTGTTTTATAAACTAAAAAATTATCACATAAAACTCATTAGGTGTGTATTTGATTTTGGTGGCTACTTTAATTTTTAGCCTCCTTCTTTTCACATATTATCATATAATAAAGTTAATTCAATAAATAAATATAATTAGTGTGGTTATTGTGGATTTTGTGGGTTAACCGCGGTGGCTAGTGAGTTGTCGGTAACCACTAAACACAAAAGTCATTATTTTACTACCCACAACTTGTGGGTATGGTTACCCACAATGTATGCCAGTTGGTGCGGTTTGCGGGTTATTTACAACCCGCAACCCAAACTTCCACCCATAGGTGAATATATCGAAAACACAAACATTTGGTGGAGAAGTACACAGATTACAACTTGTTATTTTGGGCAGTATATGAGTTTAGTTTGGGTTAAGTGTTTGAAAGATAAATAAACGAACAATAAATTTAACTTAGTTAGAGCGATGAATAAAGAATTTTAGTGTGATAATTAAAATATAATTTTAGTATCGAATTGTTTCATTAGCGCACCTTTGGTCAGAAATAGTACATTTCCAAAATTAAGGGCGAGCAACTCATCAACTAGCATGAGGAATTTTACAATACTATATAGTATTGGTGCTATAAATTTTGGGTAAATACAATTTAATATCCAAATCTTTTCGAAAACAATCTAATATCTCAATCGTCAACTTTCCGTCCGTTTGACCGTTGGTTGACACTTCAAAAAAGCTTTGTTTATGGGAAATTTTCATAATACAACTTTGTTTTCTTGTTTTGGCATTGCAGATGACTGAATATTTAGATATTCTATATCATCATGGTGGAGTCATGGATTTCTCGGGTTTGGAACCACGATATGTTGGTGATTTTTTAGAGAAGATATCGATAGATATTGATGAAGCGTCGTACTTCGAAATTTTTTGAAGTGTCAACTAACGGTCAAACGAACGGAGAGTTGACGATTTGGATATTCTATTGTTTTCGAAAAGGTTTGGCTATTATATTGTTTAAAATGAAAGGTTTGGATATTAAATTGTATTTACCCATAAGTTTTTGTCTTTATGGTATAACTTGAAATTGTACCTTTAAAGTTATGGTACAATTTCAACTTGTACCTATCCGTTTTGTACAAATTGGTACAACTTAAATTTGTACCTTTATGTGATAGTACAACTTCAAGTTGTAAAGTTGTACAATAACATAATTGTACAAATTTCTTTATGGTACAACCTAAACTTATACATTTAATGTTATGGTACAACTTCAAGTTGTAAATTAAAGTACCAATACTATATATGACACTAAAAGTGCTCCAACTAGCATACCTCCCCTTACAATGGACGAAAGGCGTTTTCTTCGAGTCCATGGAATGGAACTGTCAGGGAGCATAAGGCCCAATTTGTGGGCCCAGACGACCCAAAACATTGTCCCTCCAGGGTGACATAGGATACCTTTCGAAAGTCCACCCACCACATTCATGGATAGTCCTAGCCCTATCATCCAGATTTTGATCTGTTAAGGGCATTCAGAAAGAAAGAAAGATAATCTCTAACACAGCACATTCCAAGCAGGAACATGATAATATGATCCTACATGGATAAGATAAACAAGGCGACGGGTTTGCCAATCTATTGTCACAAAAGATATGAGATTGTGATTCCCCTCAGAACCCTATCATCTCCCGACAACAAATAGTGATTATCAAGGCCCTTACCTTTCTTTACCTTGCTAGCTTGGAATCCATTATAGTTATAGGCCCCATTATTCATCAACTGTTTGAGCTTTGGAATATATATGTTGGAGCCACTTGAACGATGGATTTGACAATGTGAAATTTGGTGAGGAAGAACCAAGCCGTGCAGTCATCTCTAAAGTTAAGACGATAACCTGCTGTTCCTGGGCTTCCTTACTCTGTTCCTGGGCCATTCTAGCTAGCACACATGCTGTTCTCAATTCCTGGGCTTCCTTACTCTGTGTGGAGCAATGCAGTGCAGACCAAAAATGGAGATTTTGGTTAAGCGTATGTGTTGAGACGATAACCATTAGAATCTCCAATGGGGAGTTGGAGATTCTTGTCCCCTCTTTATAAGCACCGAATATATCAATAGATTAGGTGTACCAGTGGTATGAAGTTGTCTGTCTCACCTTTTTAACTATGATAAATGTACATTGTATGGATGGATAACTAGGACTGTCCATTTGGTTTTGGTTTTAACTGAAAGCAAATCAATTGGAAAGCTAATGGTTTCAATTTTTTGGTTTTAAATCAATAAGCAACTTAATGGTTTTGGTTTGGTTAAAACCGAAAAACCATTAGAAACCATTAAGAAACCAATAAGAATATAATTATTTATCAACAAATATTTATTTTTTGTTTCTTTTAACACGCATGCCAACCA